CTGCAAGAGCACAGCGCAGACTGCTCAATGAGGTAAAGAAGAATCCTAGAGTGTCAGCTAAAGACTTACAAAAGTCACTGGCAAATGCTAACATCCCTGTTAGTGAATCTACAATACGTAAAACACTAAACAAGAATGAATTTCATGGGAGGATACCACAGAGGAAGCCACTGCTGTCCAAACAAAACATTGCTGCACATTTACAGTTTGCACAAGAGCACCTGGATGTTCCACAGCAGTACTGGCAAAATATTCTGTGGACAGATGAAAGCAAAATTAAGTTGTTTGGAAGAAACACACAACACTATGTGTGGCAAAAAAGGCACAGCACACCAACATCAAAACCTCATCCCAACTGTGAAGTATAGTGGTGGGGGCATCATGGTTTTGGGCTGCTAACGGATTGCTATCATCGAAGGAAAAACAAATTCCCAAGTTTATCAAGACATTTTGCAGGAGAACTTAAGGCCATCTGTCTACCAGCTGAAGCTCAACAGAAGATGGGTGTTGCAACAGGACAATGACCCAAAGCATAGAAGTAAATCAACAACAGAATGGCTTAAACAGAAGAAAATACGCCTTCTGAAGTGGCTCATTCAGAGTCCTGACCTCAACCCGATTGAGATGCTGTGGCATGACCTCAAGAAAGCGATTCACACCAGACATCCCAAGAATATTGCTGAACTGAAACAGTTCTGTAAAGAGGTATGGTCAAGAATTATTCCTGACCGTTGTGCACGTCTGATCTGCAAGTACAGGAAACGTTTGGTTGAAGTTATTTCTGCCAAAGGAGGTTCAACCAGTTATTAAATCCAAGGGTTCACATACTTTTTCCACCTGCACTGTGAATGTGTGCATGGTGTGTTCAATAAAAACATGGCAACATTTCATTCTTTGTGTGTTATTAGTTTAAGCAGACTGTGAGTGTCTGTTGTTGTGACTTAGATGATGATCAGATCACATTCTATGACCAATTTGTGCAGAAATCCATATCATTCCACAGGGTTCACATACTTTTTCTTGCAACTGTAGATAAATTAATGGGAAACGCACATCACTGCATGGAACTCTTTTTTTAAGAAACAAGAAGAGAAGCAACACTTGGAAAGATTTTTTTTTTCTTTCTCTGGCTTTTTTTTTTTAAATTAAAAGAAACAAGGTAAATAATTATAGGCAACACAAAGGTGAGTTGGGATGACATGCTTATGTGGTCTTTTTCTAGGTGTTTTGGTTTGAAATTAAAACATAAAATAAAGATAAAAGACTGTTAACGTAAGCATTTCATGCAAGTATTTTTGATTAATTCAATCAGTCTTCATTCATATTTACTGTTATCATAAGAGCAGGAACCGCACTCCTCTACATCCAATGTTCTCTACCTCGGAATGTTCTGAAGTCATCTATAGACAACATTAATTTGGAAAAATCAAAGGGTATAGGTATTATAAAGGTAAAAGATATAATAGATCAAAATACAATAAAACCTTTCCCCAAGTTGGTTTCAGAATATTATATACCCAACAAAGACATTTTAATTATCTAAGTCTGGGATGTGTTCTGGCTAAACATTTGTATTCAAGAAGTTCAGAAATAGTAAAAGACCTAAAAACCTCACTGGAAAAGTAGAATTATAAGGATATAATATCTAAATATGCCCAGATCGTATATATATAAATTATCACCTAGAACTATACCCACTGTTTTGGGAAATGTTTTTGGGAACACAATCCTGAGATTAAAACTGAGCAATACAAATGGGATTCACTACTACTACATATAAACATATACACTCTTTTACTACAAGAGAAACTCAATTTAAGATTCAAAACGTTGGGTAAAGTATTAGAAATAAGTCCAGAAGTGGCCTTATTATATTTAAAAGTTAATAAAATACAAAAAGACACCTTTCCAATAATTCTACATATATTATCTGCAGCTAAACGATGGCATTGGATTGGAAAACAAGCAATATTTCAAAATCTCAAACCATAATCTGCAAATTAATAACCCCAGGGGCCATATGACCGCTAAACAAAAAGTTTTAAAATAAAAATATTATATGATAATATATATATATATATATATATATCTTATATATAATGTCATACTAAGTGTATTTTGTATTAATATAATAACAATATTGTATAAATATTATTATAATAAACAAAAAATAATCAATTAAAATAAATATAAAAATGTAAAAATAATAAAACAATAAAAAAATTATATATATATATATATATATATATAAATGTAATTTTTTTTCTAACTGTATCTTGATATTAATATATATATATATATATATATATATATATATATAAATAAAAAAGTACAAAATATACATATGTCCATATACATAATTACATAAATAATTTCATAAAGACTTAAAATATATAAATATGTGTATATATATCTAAATTCTACGTGCATATTTATGTAATATTTTTACATAATTAAGTAATTTTATTGATTCCAATTTGGGGGACCTGCCTGACAAAAGAAACAAAAGCTAAAAAATTATAGGCAACACAAAGGTGAGTTGGGATGACATGCTTATGTGGTCTTTTTCTAGGTGTTTTGGTTTGAAATGAAAACATATAAAATAAAGATAAAAGACTGTTAACGTAAGCATTTCATGCAGGTATTTTTTATTAATTCATTCAGTCTTCATTCATATTTACTCTTATCACAAGAGCAGGAATGCTCTAATACACTTAGAATGAAATTATGCATATATATATATATACATATATATATATATATATATATATATGCATAATTTCATTCTAAGTGTATTAGAGCATTCCTGCTCTTGTGATAAGAGTAAATATGAATGAAGACTGAATGAATAAAAATATTACATAAATATGCACGTAGAATTTAGATATATATACACATATTTATATATTTTAAGTCTTTATGAAATTATTTATGTAATTATGTATATGGACATATGTATATTTTGTACTTTTTTTATTTATATATATATATATATATTAATATCAAGATACAGTTAGAAAAAAATTACATTTATATATATATATATATATATATATATATATAATTTTTTTATTGTTTTATTATTTTTACATTTTTATATTTATTTTAATTGATTATTTTTTGTTTATTATAATAATATTTATACAATATTGTTATTATATTAATGTTATTATATATATATGCATTTATAAACAAAAAAATTAATACAAAATATACATATGTCCACATACATAATTATATATATAATTTCATAAAGACTTAAAATATACAAATTTAAATTCTACGTGCATATTTATGTAATATTTTTTACATAAATATGCACATAGAATTTTGTCAGGCAGGTCCCCAAAATTGGAATCAATAAAATTACAACCCAGGCTAAAAGTCCAGGGAATTTAATTTGCTAGCACTATATTTGACCCTGTAACTTTCCAAGACACCTTAAAACCTGAACATGGGGGAACCATTTTACTCGGTAGACTTCACTGAACACAAATATTAGTTTTTAAAAACCGTAAAACATATCACAGCGATGATATTGTCAGTGAAAGTGACGTTTTTTGCATTTTTCACACACAAATGGCACTTTCACTCCAGGAGGGAGACAGACTAAGAGCCAGGACCGGAAGAGAGCCTGTAACAGACTCCCATTACATGCATCCAGATGCCGCTGGACCACAGGGAAGCCACCCTCCTGCATCAAAAAGGTATGGGTAGTGGCTAAAAAATATGTAATGTGATGTGTGTGCATTTTAACTATGTGTATGTCTATGTATATCTGTGTGTCAATGTGTGTCGCTGTGTCCCTGTATGTGTGCCAGTGTTTGTATTTGTGTCATTATGTGTATCTATATGTGTTTCAGTGTCTGTGTGTGTATCTGCATGTGTGCTTGTGTATCTGCATTTGTCTGCATCTGCATGTGTGTTAGTGTGTGTCTGTATATTTGTATGGTGTTAATGTATTTATGTGTATCTGCATGCTTGCCAGTGTGTGTATCTGTGCATCTGTGTATCTGTATGTTGTCAGTGTGTGCCTGTGTATCTGCATGTCTGTACCTGTGTGTCTGTGTATCCAGATGTGTGTGTGTGTGTGGCAGTTTATATGTGTATACATCTCAGCACTCAAACTCTAACACTTCACACATACACCCCTACTTTCAGAGGCAAACATTACACACAAGTAAACCACTGCTTGCAAATGGCAACAGCACATAAAAACACACAACACAACACTACACACGAATACACTCCTCCATTCACACACAGATACTTTATACAAAAACTTACTGTGACGGAACGCTGGCACTCCGACTGAGTACCTCCGCCAATCGATGCTCCTAGTGCTCGCTGAGGACTCCAAGCACTCAAACCGACACCATCAGCACTGCAGACCCCACTTCCAGCGATGTAACTGCGCCGGGGTCTCTGCTGTTTCCACCCACCCTGGACCCAAGGCCAGGATCCAGCTTCCAGTGGGTGAACCTCTCTTTCCCCAGAGAGCAGGAACAGGAACAAATCAAGCTATTGCAAGAGCTTCCTCTGGGGAGTAAGTGATTATAGCAATCCCCAGAGTGTAGGTATCCCTTCCCCCAAACATGAGCCAAGGCTTAATGCTGGAACAAGACTGATTTACTGGCACACAGAACTCACAATTTATGCAACACAAAACTCCTCCTCTGGGCCAGGCTAGATAATTGAGTTTCTACAATACACAAAGCTCAATTATCTGCTGGCCAGAAAATACAGTTTCATAAAACACACAGGGACCCCAAAACATGCAATAACCCCATAAAAAGTATATCCTTGAAACCGGGGGATCTGGGTGAACCACATATCCAAAATTCACCCAGATCCGTTCAGTACTTTGGAAAATACAGTTTAATGCAGATTCTGCAGAACATATACAGGCTAAATAAAAACAATCACTGTATAATGTGTCCCCTGCTGTATAGTCCAAAACCACCGCACGATGTCTCTGTGCACCAAATACTGGCGAGATGGCACCGTGTTGAAAAGTCCAAACAGTGTCTGTGAGTTAAAATGGCCACCATCCATTGTTCTCACCATGTGCTTCTGATACAGGAAATGGTGGCCACCCAGTAACTCCACAGTATGTCCCCAGATGGTTCTTAAAGGGCCAGCAGCAGCACAACACAAATACATTATGCCCAAATCATGTCTTTAAAGGGCAATACATCCCAAGGGCCATAGTCACAGGGCAAGAGGCGGGCAAGCAGTCCTCTCCAGGCACAAGTGGCGAAGGGCACTTCGTCACACATCTTCCCTTTGGGGGGAAGACTAAACAGGTACCTGACCTTCTGCCGGTCAGTACCTAGATTAGTCGGGCAGCCCACCCACAGAGAAAAATACGCAGAGTAACCCCCCCACAATAAATGGTACTGGCCTGTAGGTTCAAGTTTGTAGTGGGACAGTGCAGCACTCTCGGTCTCCCTGGTGCAGCTAGGCAAACTGCTGGTGTTGCTTGGGGGGCAGAGGCCAGCGGCGCTCTGCCCTGCTGCCAGCTCTTCCACTGGGGTAACCCGTGGTAAGTCAGGCTCTGATACAGGGGAAAAGGGGGGGCAGAGGCTAACAGAGCTCTGCCCAGATGCCAGCTCTTCTGCTGGGAGGGGGTCAGTGGGTATCGCAGGCTCATCCACTGCCCCCAGGACCCGGTTGGGATGTAGCTGGGGAGGGGAAGTTTTGCTTACCTCCTCCTCCTGGCATCCCTGCGGGGTTGGTTGGGGATCTGGACCGCCCGTCCAGCCTCCCTGTAGGACTGGCACAGAGACCGCGGTCCCATCTGCGCCAGTGTGGTTAGGTTTGTCTTCCCCCTCTCCCGGTATCTCTGGCTGCTGTTGGAGGGGGAGGCTGGTTGCCCCCACACCCCAGGACGCTGGTTGCTGTAAGGTGGAGGGATCGACCATCACCTCCTCCTGGAACTCAGGCTGCCGCTGGGCTGACTGCCCAGCATCCCTGTAGGGCTGGCAGAGAGACTTCGGTCCCATCTCCGCTTGCCATCTCTCTGTGTCCCCAGGACAAGTCTATGTGGTCGCCCACCTCCGGCTGCTGTTGGAGAGGGAGGCCGGTTGCCTCCCCTCCCCAGGACGCTGGTTGCTGTACGGGGGAGGGATCTACCATCACCTCTTCCTGGAACTCAGGCCGCCGCTGGGGAGAGAGACCGGTTGTCTCTTCCCTCTGTACGGTGCACTGCCGCTGGGAAGGGAGGTCGCTGCTCTCCTCTCCCTGTAACTCACTCTGTCGCTGGAGACGGGGTGTCAATACCCCCAAACTCCACAGTTGGTACTCGTAGTTCCGTGCGTCTTGGTTCTCAGCACTCAACAGGCACATCACTTGATGGACCACCTCATCTGAAGGGTTTGGGCCAAACCAGACCAGCCGCGCCTTTACTTCCTTCATGAAATCAGCACCCTCATAGCACTGTGACAGGCGGATTTGCAATTCACTGGCTGCTGTCCAGGGTCTTGCTAGCTCCATGTTGCTGTAGGTAGGGACGCTGCGCAGAGGCTAGCGTTGCCCTCAATTATAAATCCGTAACTCCACACGTTACCGGTGTCTCTGAGCTGCTGGTCCTCGCACTAGGACGCCATCCCACCACTTGCCACCAAATGTGACGGAACGATTTCACTCCGACTGAGTACCTCCGCCAATCGATGCTCCTAGCGCTTGCCGAGGACTCCAAGCACTCCAACCGACACCATCAGCACTGCAGACCCCACTTCCAGTGATGCAACTGCGCTGGGGTCTCTGCTGTCTCCACCCACCCTGGACCCAAGGCCAGGATCCAGCTTCCAGTGGGTGAACCTCTCTTTCCCCAGAGAGCAGGAACAAGCTCTTAGCAGAACTTAGTGATCATACCCTGGGAGTAAGTGATTATAGCAATCCCCAGAGTGTAGGTATCCCTTCCCCCAAACATGAGCCAAGGCTTAATGCTGGAACAAGACTGATTTACTGGCACACACAACTCACAATTTATGCAACACAAAACTCCTCCTCTGGGCCAGGCTAGATAATTGAGTTTCTACAATACACAAAGCTCAATTATCTGCTGGCCAGAAGTAATACAGTTTCATAAAACACACAGGGACCCCAAAACATGCAATAACCCCATAAAAATATATATCCTTGGAACCGGGGGTGAACCACATATCCAAAATTCACCCAGATCCGTTCAGTACTTTGGAAAATACAGTTTAATACAGATTCTGCAGAACATATACAGGCTAAATAAAAAACAATCACTGTATAATGTGTCCCCTGCTGTATAGTCCAAAACCACTGCACGATGTCTCTGTGCACCAAATACTGGCGAGATGGCACCGTGTTGAAAAGTCCAAACAGTGTCTGGGAGTTAAAATGGCCACCATCCATTGTTCTCACCATGTGCTTCTGATACAGAAAATGGTGGCCACCCAGTAACTCCACAATATGTCCCCAGATGGTTCTTAAAGGGCCAGCAGCAGCACAACACAAATCCATTATGCCCAAATCATGTCTTTAAAGGGCAATACATCCCAGGGGCCATAGTCACAGGGCAAGAGGCGGGCAAGCAGTCCTCTCCAGGCACAAGTGGCGAAGGGCACTTCGTCACACTTACATTCAAACATACAAACGCTGCTCTGTGCCAAGTACAACCCTGCAAGGATGGGCAAATGGTAGATCCCCAGCTGGCAAAGCATTGTGTCAGTTGAACAGCAGACGGGGATCTACCTTTCTTTTTTTCCATATTTGCAATCAGCGGGCCTCCCAAAAATTATTTCAACAGTGCCCTCTCTACTGTATTTCCACCACTAAGTGCAAAGCAGTTTATCAACTTTAAAAATGGTACAAATCGAAAATTCATATAACAACACAGGGGAATAATATATCAGAGGCAAAGGGACACTATAGTTATTACAACAACTACAGCTTAATGTAGTGGTTCTGGTGTCTATAACCTGTCCCTGCAGGCTTATGAATGTATGCACTGCCTTTTCAAAAAGAAGGCAGTGTTTAAATTACCGCCTAGGGTCACCTGTAGTGGCAGTCACTCAGATCTCCACTAGAGGTGCTTCCTGGGTTAGTGCTACGTATGTTCAGTGACTCCACACTCTGCATGGAGACTCCACGCTCTGCATGGAGACGCTGAATGCTCCCCATAGAGATGCATTGATTCAATGTATCACTATGAGGATATGCTGACTGGCACAGCACAGTGTTTAGCCACGTATGTGCAAAAGCCTCCCAATGCTTTCCCATAGGAATGCATTGGATTGGCTGGGATCATTAAATGTAATTATCTCAGCCATGGAGGCAGAGGGGAAACAACAATAACAGAAGTGCAAGGCTGTGCCAAAGTATATCAATGTGGACTATGCATAATAAGACAGGTATATAAATAAAGCATAAATATGAAGTTAGTGGATATAAGTTAGTCCAGGATAGTTTAAAGTTGCACTCTAGCGATGAGTGTCTTTTACGGTGCTTTAGGTGATGGAGTGTCTTCACTGTTTATAGTGGTCCGATTGTTATCATAATATGAAAGACACAAAATAAGAGACCGATCATATAGACTGTGTGGGTCAATGTATGTGAGAAGAGAGATATATATTAAACTCAAATTTAGGAGAGCTATAGCCAGCTCAGGTATAACAGGCTCACAGTGGTATGATCCCCGCTTAGGGCATATATGGGTGGTTGCTCGTGGCAGCAAGTGGAGGGGGCATTATGGGAAATGTAGTTTGCTTGGCCTGAAGTGTTTTGCAGCATTTTGCCGCCGATTGAGGCGGTGTTTATTTGGTAGTGTGGGCGTGTGCGGCCGCTGGTCTGGTGGGCAGTGCGCACATAGTGAGGGGCAGACTTTTGTTGTATCCGCAATAGGGTTGAATAGGTGTGGACATGTATAGTAGGCATGGCTTAATTGGCCGGAATAGTGATAGGGAAAATCTTAGATTACAAGGTGGGCAAATGGTATATAACAACCTTCTTTACTGTGGTAAGAGTGCTGGATGGCTGATATAATGGTATATATGGGATACAAAGTAGTTAAAATAGAATTAAGTAAAGGGGACTGTGGTTTTCATTGGTTGGGGTAGAGGCATATTTCTACACCTTATTATTGTAGAGTATTAATTTTGTGACAATGAAATACAATACAGAATCATTAAATAAGACTTATAAACATAATAAAATGGGTAAATATCCATGTAATAGCCATTTAAAGAAAAGTGTCAATAAAAGGTATTAAACAGTCAAAGGGGCATTGTGACATGAAATCTTATTAAAATTAACCCAAACCTCTGTACAATAACCTGTTATTATAAACAATATATATACAGTGATAAGAAGAAATTGACGTGATTTGGTTATACTGGGGGTATTCTAGGCCATAATGCCGTAAGTTAACAACTATGGATAGGATAGCCCCAAGATAACAGCATGTGAGCCTCAATGATTGTCATTGGGTTAAATACACTTTCTGTAGTTGTAGCATCATCATAATACAAAAACATATGGAAGTTATATGCAACATATAGGAATATATGAATAGATAGAGATTAAAAGTGGAAAGAAATATCAAATACTAAGAAGGATCATTTCAATATAAAATAGGCATTATAAAACAATTAAAATAACTTGTAAGCCCCAGGGCCGGATTAACATAGGGGCTGATGAAGCTGCAGCTCGAGGCCCAGGCCCAGGCCGATAGGCCCACTGATTTACATTTTTTTTTCACACACTACTCTTAGGGATTCCACCTGGCTTTTATTTTATTGGCACAGCCAGTATTTGAGGCTGTCTGGCTGGTGCCAATATTGCAGTGATATTGGCAATGCAAATGCTGGTATTTTTCTCAGTATAAACAAGAGATTACTATACAATACCAGCACTGGCCAGTAGGGGTCGCTGTGTGTGTGGAGACAGGCAGGGATAGGAAGTTCCAGCATATGCCTCCCTGCCTGTCTATACTCACTGATCTGCAGGGGTGCAGATACAGAGAGTCCAGACAGCAACTCCCACCCTGCAGAGACAGCCTACAGCTCAGGGAAGTAAGGGATGGGGGAAAGGCTGCAAGGAGACATACACTGAGACACTAAGGGGCACTTGGAGACATTATGGCAGACACTGAGACACTAAGGGACATTGGGAGACATTATGACACAGACACATGGGGAGTGGGGACACAGTGTCCCCATGTCTCCCAGCCAGTGTCCCTGGTGTCTCAGTGCCCCTTAGTCTCCCA